GAAAATTAACCTCGTTCGAAATTTGCGCCGTTCACCAAATATTATGGCTTTCTTGTCGTCTTAGTGACGACTGCTCCGGGGGCCGCCGCGTCTGCTCGGGTTTTGTGCCCACAGTGCGTACCACGGCCCCCTTCCATGGGGGCTGAGCGGCCGGAACGTGAAGGAAACTCGCCATTCGCCTCCACCCAAAATGCAGGTCTGCACGAAGGACTGTGGACTCGGTATACAAAACCTCCGACTCCGACTCCTTCATAAAAGCTCACAATGCATTAATAAGGGTAAACGTACTTAAATGGTAAATGGCACCATAAGAGATTTCATCACCACCACGTTTTAGATTTATAACCTATATTTAAATATATGTCTAATGGTTATTGCAGAAATTGATTGTTTTGTAGACAGTTTGTATTCCTAAAAGTTACAAAGCTTTATTGCCACACACCACGTGGCTCAACGCGTCGTTAAATCTCCCTAAGCGTGAGGCTGCCGGCGGCTCACCCGGTATAGAAATTGTTCTTCAGATTTTTTATCGAAGTCTGAGTCGGTACATTTTTACCGACTCCGACTTAACCTAAAATTGCTTCCGACTCCACAGCCCTGGTCGTGTCTGTGACATGACCTTGATTTGTGCGCGACCTCAACGATATACATGTTCTCGAAGATATTTCTTCGGAATTAAGTGTGGGAAAAATTCGTTTTCTAATGACATTGAACTTTAATGACATGGACATACGTGACCACAACTTACCTATCCCGTAATAACAATTATTTATTTTAATCCGTCTTATCCGTTTTCACTACCTGATGATGGTTTTATAAAAACCGAAACATGTTGTGTAAATGTTCCGAAATGTAAATCGATCAATCGATATGGAACATCAATGATATTTTATTATCTTAATTAAAGGAAATTTTAAAATATTGTGATAAGACGGATTAAAATAAATAATTGTTATAGTATTCACAATATGACGCAATTACAATATCTTATCCCGTAATAACAAAAGCTAAAACGATACAAACCTAACCACGCAACGCAAACATTGAATCACGGAGACTGCACTGTCTCTACGAAAATCAATAACGACTGACTTTCACTTCCGGGGCTGACATCAATCTCACGTATTTGAAAGCCGATGTACGGGTCTGTCCAATGGAATCGAACCACGTCATTTTCTGTTTAGTTTTCTCTCCGTTAGAGTTCGTAAATTTGTGAGCTCTGCTGTCGGCCAATCGCTACGTAGAAGGATTATTGATTTACCAGACTGCAACATCACGTCAGCACCAGTCTAATTCGGAAATTGTTTTTACACATGCTGCCATCTGTACGCTACATTCAATGTGTGCGAACATTTGCATAATTTTCGAAATGGTTTTTGATCTTTGCAATTCATATTGCATATTTATTTGTTTGTTTTATTAAATTCCGACACTTGAATGTGTTTGGATTCACTTGTAACCCCCTTATTTACGTATGGTGATTTCTGCGCGCGAATCCTTACGTATGAAGCTACAACGCGCTTACATAACCTTAGTCACTATCAGTATCTTCGCCATAAAAATATTTCTACACTCATTTTGTGCATTTTTTAGTCTTATGACGTATCTGTGCACGTATAGGCACCAGTTAGAAAACATAAAGAAACGTTTCTATGCGTAATTCCTTGTTGATAAAGTCGGATGTTGG